GATTTTATCTTTGGAGTACACCCAGCAAAGCATTCAATGTGGACATTTGGAAAGCTACGGGGAAAAAAGTTAGTCAAACTGGGCTTCATCAACTTTAGACCATACAACCATCTTAAAGCATAAGATGTAGACCTGGCCTACACATTCCTACAAATTTCCCAGGTCCCGATCCAATTCAAAATCCAGAATCCATGAAGGCCCCACCCCACAATCCAAAAGATCTGCTGCCAATATCCCAGCGCCAAACACCACAGGACACCCTCAGAGAGCCTGTGTTCACGGCCTGCTGTTTTGGCAGCGCGATCAGGTACCTACACCACATCAAGCAGGTGGTTTTGATGTGGTGGCCGATCGGTGTAAACACACCGAGGAGACGTAAAGCGCACAATACAGGCTGAGACAACTTTTAGCTTGTCGTGTTTGGAAAAATACAGGATGTGTCTCGTCCTGCTGAGAAGCCAACTGCTACAACTGCTTTGGGGGTTTCTCGCTCTCAGTCCAGCGTTGACTGAAACGGAAATTTGTGCCAACACACTCATGAGAGGGAAGGAGACTTGTTGAGCGACGCAGCTCCCGCTAGATTACCATCCGTCAATCAGCCAGTTTAGCGAGGACGGGCGAGCGCGGACGCCAAGGGTCTGTTATTCCTGCATCCAAGGTGCCGTTAGGAGGTTAAATATCATCTGGCAGTGTGAATCCTGCACATTTAAGATTGAGCATTGAAATGAACCAAACACACACACACACACAATTCCCTGCACAGTACGACAAAATGAGGTACTCTGCTTCTGTCATAACAAATGTCACTCTTTATTTCTTTCTGCCGGTCTATCTGCCTCTCTGTCAGAAACACACACACACACAAATGAAGCAGGAACCGATGGGTACTCCACTTCTGTCACAACAAAGGCTTTTGACTCATTTCCCAAATTTATTATAGATACAAATCATCTTCCCACTCATCCGCCTGCAAATTTATTTTGACAACAGCGTCTCCATCAAGACACCGATCCCATATATAGGTGCTTTTATCTTCGCATATTGTTCTCCTCGTGTTTGATATTGCCAGAATCTTCTAACTGAGGTTTCATTAGGATTATGACACAGACTTTCAGGTAATCTCAGGGAAGATTTTCCATTAAGATGCCCAAGACAGGATGTATATTATAGAAGAGGTGGAGTCACTCAGTAGGTGTAAACAAACACAATCACAGGAGACAACCACGAGTACGGAGGAGGAGAGAGGCAGGCTTGTTTAAACCCCGGTTATATTACCTGAAGTGCTTGTTTACACCTGATTGCACTTGGCCTATTGAGTAACAATCCCCTGAAATCATATGCATTACATGAGTGACGCCCTTGACTTGCTGTGCTGGAAACTGAATATTAGAAGCTACGGTCAGTTTTACCACAAACCTGCAGCATCCAGTTCAATAATCAGCTTTAAGATTTATCACATGACTTGGAGAAAGAGTGCATTTGCAATAAACTGGTAACTGAGTGTATCCCGCTCATGTCTTATATGTAGCAGAAGAATTAACTTTAAGGCTTGAGTGAGCTACTTGACTTTAACCCTTGCAGTACGTGCTNTGTCTCCGCCGGTCTTCAGTCGGCGACAATGACTCGATGTAACTTATAGTGAGCTGGACACACAGAGAGCAGCTTAGTTAGAGACTTGCTGACATTTTATTTTGACGTTGGTGTATTTGCTATAGCGCAGATCATAGTTGAGTCTAGTTCAGTATAGAGCAGGGGTCGGCAGCCTTAAACACTCACAAAACCATTTGGACCTATTTCCCACAGAAAAGAAAACACTGGGAGCCACAAAACCCTTTTGACATCTAAAATGATGATAACACTGCATATATCGATTTTACCTTTATTTATGTGTAAAAAAAACTCTTGTGTTTTGCATTTATGAAATCAATGACCTGCTACAGAGAAAACAAAACACCAGTAACACCAGAAAGAGTCGCGAGATTTGTCGCTAGTCGCTTTTGACAAAAAAAAAAAAGTCGCCAAGAGGATTTGGAAAGTTGCCAGTTGTGATGTATATTTTGAGCGACAAAAAGTTGATGTTTTATTTCAATGTTACAAAATCACCATAATCTTCAAATTTAGAATTACACTTTTAAAAATGAACAAAGTAAAATAAAATACATTTAAATTAAATACTCATTGTTTATTTTTCAAAGCCACAAGGAGTCGCAGCAGAGGTATGAAAGAGGAGCGGTGGGTTGCCGACCCCGAGATAGATGAAATATTTGGACATAAATTCAGGTAAATTGAGTGTGGACAAAAGGATACAGTACAAGTAACTTGTGTGTGTGTCTTAGTCCAGATGGCGTGGATGCATCTCATTACATATAGTCACTAGGGATGATTAAGTATGGAAAATTAGAGAAATGGCTGCCAAACCTGCCAAAACACAGGAGCTGTCATCCCGCTTGTGTTACTGTGATATTTCACTTGGCTACACATTTTAATGAATTCTTTAATACCATTAAGCTCATTGTACATCAATCAAAAATATATCATTACTTGTACAATAAAATGGAATCTACAGCAGACATGGTTCTTAGTTTCAGATTGTGCATCATTCAAATCCGCCTAAAGCATTGGCTCCTCCATCCATAACAGCGAACACAGAGCATTCAGTAAGAATTGCTCATAAAGCACACGACATAAAAGCAGGCACAACATCACAGTCGATAAACACGGAGTCATATTCCACGTTGTTAATGCTGTAAAGATGCAGCATGAGTGTTTTTTTTTTTTTTGCTCTTTTTTCCCCACATACCTCCTCTTCAGGGCTGATATCCTGAACAGCTCTGAGCTGTACTTTCGTTCCCTCAAACACCATCATGCAGTTTGGCCTACAGTCATGGTTTAGCAGAGATAAACTGAGGAAGAGCAAACAAGCAGCAAGAGGGAAGCGAGAGCAGCAAACGGTGGGAGGAGAAAGAGTGAAGGTAGCAGAGAAAGAGGGGGAAGGAGATAGAGCAGTGAGGAGGGAAGAAGCAAAGATAAGGAGAGAAAGTGAAGGTGGAACGTAAGAAGGAGAAAGTGAGAAAGAGAAATATCTGTGATTAAATGCTCAACTTGAAGTACATTCTCATGTAAACGTTTTATGTAAATTCTACAAAATCGTCCATGTGTGTGCATGTGTTGATAGGTAACACTTTCCTCTTAAAAATAACACTCATCAGCTCCAATATTAAAACCACTGACAGATGAAGTGAATGACATTGATCATCTTGTTACAAACAACGTTCTGCTGGGAAACCTTGGGTCCTGGTATTCATGTGGATGTTACTTTGACATGTACCGCACATCTAAGCATATGCCCCCCCACCATGGCAACAACCCTCTCCGATGGCAGCAGCCGCCCCAGCAGGACTACACATCCTGTCATACTGCAAAACCTGCTGAAGAACGGCTAGAAGAACACCATTGTAGGAGCCTAATTCTATTTCTTTGATTCTGGATTTGGTTCTTATTTTACCACGATTATTTCTATTTGGTTTTGATTTTTTGTTCAAGAGTAACTTTGATATTGATTA